CACCCTGTACAAATACAGGTGTATGTGATAGGGTTGGTACTTATGCGGATCAGTCACACATGTGTAGAGAGCAGCTACTGTGTAGAAAGCAGCTACTCTGTTAAAAGCAACCACTGTGTTGAAAGCAACAGTATTGGAGGTAAAACGACACTTCATGAATTAATTACTGGGTAAATGTAAAATCATGTACTGTAAAATCATCAAGTACTGCAAAAAAAAATATATATCTGTACCATGGGAACTTAATCTGGATGCTGAATGGTCTTTTTATATTCAGCTGTGGTTGATGTGAATGTTGCCCCCTTGTGATAGTAACAAGTATGTGAAGAAAACAACACAGAGAATGGTAAATCATAGGAAACTTTAATGAACTGTATTGACTTAACTATGCCATGTATCATCTTTTGTATTATTAAAGCTATTGTTATATATTATTTTCATTAGCAAACCAACTCATGACAATGGATTGTGTACAGAAGAACGTTAAGAAAAGAAAATATAGTGGGGATTTTTTACAGTATGGTTTTACCTCAATAATTATAGCAGGAATTGAGAAACCACAATGTGTTATTTGTTGTGAAGTTCTATCAGCCGAATCTATGAAGCCGAACAAACTAAAATGCCATTTTGATAGCAAGCATTCGAGCTTTGCTGGCAAGGATACCCAGTATTTTAGAAGCAAAGCTCATGGACTCAAGAAAGCCAGACTTGACACTGATGGCAAGTACCACCAAAAAAAAAATAGCAGCCATTGAAGCTTCGTATTTGGTGGCACTCAGAATTGCCAGAGCTATAAAACCTCACACCATTGCTGAGGGTTTACTGTTGCCAGCAGCCAAAGACATTGTTCGAGTTAGGATTGGAGACAAATTTGTTATGAAATTGAGTGCAATTTCCTTATCTAATGACAATGTACGCAGAAGAATAGATGACATGTCTGCTGATATTCTTGATCAGGTAATCCAGGAAATTAAATCTGCTCCACTTCCAATATTTAGCATCCAGCTTGATGAATCTACAGATGTTGCAAACTGTTCACAGTCACTGGTTTATGTGAGGTATATTAATGATGGCGACTTTAAAGATGAGTTTCTTTTTTGCAAACCTCTTGAAAAGACAACTACTGCATGTGATGTATTTGACACAGTTGGTTCATTTCTGAAAGAGCATAAGATCTCTTGGGAAAAGGTTTGTAGTGTTGGCGCAGATGGTGCTCCAGCTATGCAATGATGTCAATCTGGATTTCAACGTTTGGTACTGAATGAGTCACCAAAAGTCGTCAGAACTCATTGTATGATTCATTGGCAACTATTAGCAACAAAGATGCTGCCACAAGAGTTACAAGAAGTAATGAAAAGCGTCATAAGTTCTGTCAATTTTGTAAAGGCGAGCACTTTAGTCGACTGTCTTTGCAACTGTGCAACGAGTTGGATGCACTGAACAATGCTCTGCTATTTCACACTGAAGTGAGATGGTTGTCGACAGGAAAAGTTTTAAAACGTGTTTTTTAGCTTCATGATGAACTCAAAGTGTTTTTTAATCAGAAAGCAAGACTGCAAATTGAAGCACTTTTCAGCAATAAAAGTGAACTGCAGAAAATAGCTTACTTGGTTGACATCTTTGCCATCTTGAATAAGTTAAACTTATCACTGCATGGACCAAATGTAACATGCCTCAATTTGTCTGAAAAGATCTGATCATTCCAAATGAAACTTCAGCTTTGGCAAAAACAATTGGATGAAAATAAAATTTACATGTTGCCTACCTTATCTGCTTTCTTTGAGGAACATGACATTGAACCAGACAAAAGGATTATGATGATAATTTCTGTGAAAGAACACTTGCACATGTTTGCAGATGAAATTTCATTGTACTTTCCAAATCTACCTGACACCCCATTTGCACTTGCCAGAAGCCCATTCACAGTCAAAGTTGAAAATGTTCCTGAGACAGCACAAGAGGAGTTCATTGAACTTATTAACAGCGATGCAGTGAGAACTGATTTCTCTACAATGCCAGTTACAAAATTCTGGATCAAATGTTTGCAGTCATATCCTGTTCTGTCTGAGACCATGTTGCGCCTTCTTCTTCCATTTCCAACAACATGTCTTTGTGAAACAGGGTTTTCCAGCTTGTTGGTTATCAAGTCTAAATACAGAAGTAGACTTGTTGTGGAAGATGATCTTCATTGTGCTCTTGCAAAGACTGCCCCGGGAATTTCTGATCTGGTGAGAAAGAGGCAATCTCAACCTTCGCACTGACATTGTTTTTTTACGCATACTGTCACAAAATGTAGCAATGTAGTTTGTTGTTGTTATATTAAGACTGTTACCCATGCTACACCATGCTTCAAGACAAAATTTCACTTATTTGTAATTAGACATAAATATTTCACACTATATAATTACATATTCTGTTCAATTTGTAACAATGAAAATATATCCTGCATATCAGATATTTACATTACGATTCATAAGAGTAGTAAAATTACAGCTATGAAGTAGCAACAAAAATAATTTTATGGTTGGGGGTCACCACAACATGAGGAACTGTATTAAAGGGTCGCAGTATTAGGAAGGTTGAGAACCACTGGCTTAGAGTGTCAGCCTGAGGACTGAAGGGTCTCGGGTTTGATACCTGGGTTGCAGGTTCGATCCCTGGCCCTGGTCGGGCTTATGCCGGAGGCAACCAACAAATGTGTCTCTCTTGGATTGATGTTTTTCTCTCTCCCTCCCTCCCTTCCACTCCATCTAAAAGTCAATGGAAAAATATCCTCAGGTGAGGATAAAAAAACCACATATCTGGTCCTGGCCAGTTTGGCTCAGCCATTAGAGCGTCAGTCCGTGGACCAATGAGTCATGGGTTCAATTCTGATCAAGGGCATGTACTTCAGATGCAGTTCAGTCCCTGGCCCTGGTCAGGGTCATGCGGGAGGCAGCCAGTTGATGTGTCTCTCTCACCTCTCTCTCTCTCTCTCTCTCTCTCTCTCTCTCTCTCTCTCTCTCTCTGAAGATAAATGGAAAAATATCCTCGGGTGAGGATTAAATACACACACACACACACACACACACACACACATCTCTGAGGGTTACTTCAAACATGCAAGGGAGAAAGTTGCTTCTACTATAATCATTGAATCTGTAAGAACTTAGACCTAGCAGAGGCCATCCACAGCCTCTGGCTCCAGGCTGGTTGGCCAGGCCCAGCTGTAGAGGTAAAGGTTTCTAGGTAGCCTCTGCCACCCACCCTTTCCCCCAGTGGCCAGACTGTGGCATTCCCCAATATGGCTTACAGAGTTTCAGACTGTCAGAGCTGTGGGAAAACATCTACCCAACTCCCGCCCTCACGCAGATGGGAGAACTGACATCCAAAGGGAGGAAGGGCTCTTCACTTGCAAGTCAAGTTACTAGAACTCTGATCTTCTCAACTCTCTTTGCCTTGGCTTGTCCTTGGGAGCCTTAAACTGAATTTTAATCATTGTAGATGAAGCTTACCACATACACTAGGGCTCTTAGCTGGGCTGGCCAATACCATTTTTAGATTGGTTATCTTTTACTTTATGAAAATGATGCATTCCAGTAAAGGTGACTTCAAATAAATCTTTTGAATGAAATCTATGCTGTGCTCTTTAGAACTGTACTTCTACAATTTTAGAGTATAGCAGTCTCTAGTAGAATAAACTTAAACCTCTGAGCCAGTTCCAGGACAGGTTTAGTAGGGGAAAGTGTAGGTAGAATCTCTAAGTTCAGATCTCAGCTCTGCTTCTGAGATTCTCTCAGCCTCAGATTTTTCATCTGTGAAATGGGGATAATGATATCGCCCTCACAGAGTCAATGTAGAGTGGCTGGTACTCAATAGTTGCTCAATGCAGAGCATTATAAATGATGATGCTGATGTATTAGTTAATGATAAGAATGATGGTGATGCTGGTGGTGGTAGTGGTGATGGTGATGACAATGGTGATAATGGTGATGGTGGTGGTGGTAATGGTAAGATGGTGATGGTAGAGATAATTCTTACTGAGGTGTCCAGAATCTCCCTCTCATTGGGTATCTCCCAGGATCAGGGAGGACTGGTTCCAACTTGACAAGTCTGGTGTGAGAGGTGCTGGGCATTCTGTAAAATGAAGCTTTGCTCCATATTGTGAGTTTTGATCAGGAAGGTAAGCTGGTTCCGGAAGCAGGTGCTAAGGGCATGCTCCCAGGGTACAAACACCGTCTGTCTTCCCTTGAGATACATCCCCTTTCCCTGGGAGTCAAGCACTCGGGAATGAAGAGGCACGTGGAGATGGACGATCTTGGAGACAGGAAGTCCTGAGTGCCCCATCCCTAAGTGCTCCCCGCACCAGCGCTCCTCGTCCCTGAGCCTGCTCTGTTTTTTCCAGACAACTTACTATCTCTAGCAGACATTATTATTTACTATTTTCTATGCTTATTTTTGTATGTCTTCACTAGAAGATAAGTTGTTGTTGTTTTTTATCCTCACCGGAGGACATTTTTGCAATTATCTTGAGATAGAGCGGGAGGGAGAGAGGGGGAAACATCAATGTGAGAGAAGCACATTGAGTGGCTGCCACCCATATGACCCCAACCAGGGCCGGGGACACACTGCAACCAAGGTACGTGCCCCTCGCAGGAACCAAACCCGGGCTTCTCTGGTCCGCATGCCAATGCTCCAACCGCTGAACCAGACTGGGCAGGGCTAGAAGATAAGTTTTAAGAGGACAAGAATCTTTGGTTCAGTGCTGTATTCCAAATGCCTAAAATAGTGCCAACACACAGCCGATGCTCAATAAATATTTTCTAAAAGGGAAAAATCAATGGCTGCTTTTGTTCCCCAGGACAGGCCCAGCTTCCTAGCTTATGACTTGATTTCTCCTCAAACAAAAACAGAGAAGGGTGGGGTGTAGCCCTTGAGAGCTCAGCATGTAGGCTTTCCTAGCTGGGACTGTGGACGGGAGGTGGCAGTGCCCAGCCCAGGGGTCAGTCCCTGAAATGGCTATGGCCTTCAGAGGACCTCAACCCTGGGTCCCTGCATACCTGCTGAACAAGGAGGCTGAAGGTAGAGGAGAAGACCCTGGACTTGGAATTGAAGGTCTTGAGTGTGGGGTTTAATGAAGAGGGCAGTTATGCCCTGATACTGTCAGCTGAGAACCCCCTGCAGGCCAGCTCTGGGGCAGGGGTTCAGATGCAGGTAAATGATGGGGACCCCCTCCCTGCCTGCTCTGCTGTCACCGATGTCATTGAGCAGCAGCATCCTGACCAGAGCATCACCCTCACCAGGAATAAGCTTGTCTTTACTTTGCCCAAAGGTACAAAGTAAGGGTCGGGGTTGAGGGAGAGAAGGACCCTGAAACTTCTGCCCCAGCCCCTGGCAAGAACCCCAGGGAGCCTCAGGAGGACTGAGAGGGGTAGGGTCAGAGTCTAAATGGAATTCTGAAGTTCTGCCTGTGTGACCTGAGGCAAATGCTAGCCCTCTGTGAACCCCTGCCTCCTTCAGTGTGACATGGGGATGCTAATGGTGGTCACATAGGGTCAGGTGAGGAAGATATGAAAGGATTAATGAGAAACGGCTTTGTGAATTTACATAAGCTGAGCACACAGCAGGTTTGAGGCTTGTCCTGACAGTGGATGACACCCTGAGTAACACAAGAACCGCACGCTGAGAGCTAAGCCCTGAGCAACACTGGACTATAGGTATGGGGGGTGGACAGAGAGGTTGAGACCAGACCCTGCCTTCAGGAAGTTTCTAGATCCTGTAGAATAATTTAGTAATCTGGAAGGAGCAGAAGATCCATGCCTAGACTGTGAGTCAATCTAGGCAGGCTTCCTGGAGGAAGAGGGATGTGAGGAAATGGAAAAACCACATCCCAAGCCTTTAGGTGACCAGAAATTAGAGAGATGCTGAACTCTTCCTTCAGGATGGTGGTAGAACCCAGGACCATCTCATGGGCTAGGAGCACTCCCCTCCCTACCTCATCATGGGCTTGGACAGGCCAACAGTAAAGGGAGGAGCCATGAGAAGGGCCTGAGAGGGGGTCACATGCAGGGAAATCTTACCCAAGTTTCCTGAGGCCCCTGCCTGTCTTCTTCATCCCCCGGGGGAGGCAGGGAGACCCCAGAGGCATCTCTGAGTTCCAAGTTTCTGCAAGAATGACAGGCAGCTGTGGGTAGAGGCCCCGAGGCTGGGTGGGGTCTCTGGCCAGGTGGCCCGACCTGGTGAGGGAGGCCATCTTCCCCACCTACCAGTGCCTAGACCATTCCTGCATGAACCTTTCTGCTCAGGGGCACCAGGACCTGTAGCGCTACTGCAGCAACCTGGCTCTGCTCCAGGCCAGCGAGAACCCCACTGGCTGCCACTGTAGGGGGCCTGGCCTACAGTGTGGCCTTCTATGTGCACGGGCCTTTTCAGCCTTCGGAGGCTGACTGTCCTCTGGAGACAGAACTGATGTCACCAAGCCCAGCTGCCCAGGCTGCAGGTAGGTGTCTCCTGGGTCCAAGCTCAGGTTCTGGCATAAATGACTCCCCAGTAAGAAGACCCAACTTCTCTGATAGGCCTGACTGTCCCCTCCCTCACTGAACAGAGCAGCAGAGCATCCCGAGGCTGCCTGCCTCATATATTCAGTTCTGGAGAACATGCCTTCTAAGGATGGAGACAGGGAGTCCTAGTTTAAAGGGAGAGACAGAAATAGTGCAAAGGCCACTCAAAGCAAAGACACTGCTAGCAGGTATTTCTTTTGCCCAGAAGGTGAGTGTCCCTGTAGACCCTTCAGTTCCTAACTCAATCTCATACATTCTCACCAGGTTTTGAAGGACGCCATGAAAACCTTATTGTGGCCCCTAGGCAAGCATCTCTGTGCACCTACACTCAAACCCATTCACTTCCCACCACAGCCAGTAGGGACTCAGCTCTGAACCAGGACCCTGGCAGCTTCAGGCCCAGGTGAGGGAGTCTTGCTCTTGTCCAAGTTGTAGGAGAGTCCCCGGTATGGCTGCATCCTGCAACCAGGCATGTGTCTGATGGGCCTTACAGCCAGTATAGGTGGGAGCTAGTAGAGCAAGTAGCAGCCCTTTCAGAGGTAGAGAAACAGGCTCATCCCCAAGGATGCTTGATCCCATTTAATGCCAACAATATATCCTGGGGATCTTAGTACACACAGTGCATGGAATCCAAAGCTAGGTAAGTCTCTGGGCTGAGGTGCCACCTGGCTTGAAGACAGTCAGACACAGTGTGGGCATTGTGTGGTCCTAGAAGAAATGTCCAGTTTTGGAGCCTAGGAAAGAATTATCAGAAGAGATTTTATTTAAGATGAAATTTTCATTCATTCGTTCATTCCTCACTTATCCATCCATTCGTCCCATCGAATAATTTTTAAGTGCCGACTTTGTCAGACCTCACTTAAGGATGACAGTTCTGGGCATTCCAAGAGGAGGAACCAGAATAAGTTGGCTGAGGGGAAGGAAAGGTTTTGGCTGGCAGCAGGAGAAAGAGCCAATGTTGAAACCAAAAGTTTACAATAAAAAGTGTCTGGCTCTCCTTCCTGTCTCCCAGCAACACATTGACAGGGGATGAAGTGGAGCCCGGAGTGGTGAGCTGAGTCAGGCTGGGAGAGAGAGGTTGGGTGGGAGACAGTGGAAGGAATCAGGGTACAGTGAAAAAAGAGTGAGGTGGATATCCAGTTCAAGAGGCAGTTGGGGACCTCCAGAGAGGTTTGTGTAGGAGAAAGATGGGATCTGAGCTGTGGTTTAGACAGGTGTCTGGCAGTATGTGCTAAGAAAACTGGAAGGACAGACCTGAGACCCAGAGACCAGTTTCTCTGTTCCTATATGCCATCCTATTCCTATATGCCATGTGTTTCCTCAGACTCACGCTCCCTGACTTCAGGGCCTGTCCAAGAGTTTGTCACAGGGCTAGATATGCAAAAGGCTCAGGGCTCAGGGAGAAGCGATCCTCTGCTCTCCAGGTCCCAGCATGCCTGGCACCCCAAGCCAGAGGCCCCAGCTTTGCAGGTTGCAGTTCTGAATGCAAGTGAGGAAGGGGCGGGACTGCTTTAGGAAAGGGGGCTGAGACATGGCTGAGCCATGCTGGCAGCTCTAATTTCTGTTATTTAATGCCATCATCTCCCTGCCATTCTCCCTCTTAAAGTGTCATATGTCTGCTTCTAGCAAGACAAGAAAATGGCTGTAAGGGAGAGGAAAATTGCTTCTCTCGTGTGTGTGTGTGTGTGTGTGTGTGTGTGAGAGAGTGTGAGTGAGAGAGAGAGAGAGAGAGAGAGAGAGAGAGAGATACAGGCCAGCAGCTGGGCAGGAGAGACAATGGCAGGGTCCTTGAAGGAGAACAGAGCTGCTGCTTCCAGCTCAGGTGGACTCATCCAGCTGTTCCGCCTGAAGAACGCAGGCACCTGCCTAGGGTCTTGATTTGGAGACTCACGGACACAGCTGGAAGGACAGCAGCAAGACCAAGACAGGGCTGTCGGTGAGGGGCGAGGCCACAAGTTGTCCTTCTGGCATGTGACCAGCTCTCTGGGAAAGTCAACATGGCCTAGAACCACGGGGACCCTTGAAACCACCCTCCCTCCCCTCTTCATAGATGGAAAATGAAGCTCAGGAGGAAAGGACTTAAGTCAGACCTTTTTAGTTCTCAACTGAAGAGTAGGACAGAGGCCCTGGCCGGGTAGCTCAGCTGGTTAGAGCTTCATCCGGATACACTAAGGTTGCAGGCTCAATCCTTGGTCAGGTCACATACAAGAATCAACCAAGTAATGCATAAATAAGTGGAACAACAAATCTCTCTCTCTCTCCAAAAATCAATAAGTTTTTAAAAATAAAGAAAAGGAAAAAGGGAGCTGAAGAGGGGAGGTGTTGAGAAGAAAAGACAATGGCAGGAAGGCTGGAGAGAGGAGCAAACTTGAGCCGAGTAAGGCCAGGAAAAGACTTCTGGGTTCCAGATGCAAATGAGTAGGCTCAAGGCCACCTCCTCCAGGAATACTTCTCTGCACTGATTTTTGTCCCTTCCAAACTATCCCGTCCTGTCTGTATCAGGTATTTCAACTAGTGAATCTATTTGGTTTAGAACTTTATTGTAAGCTCACAAGTTCAACTGGTGTCATTTTTTAAAACCAGAACTGCCAGTGGTCATGTGATGAGGGATGAGGTAAGGGTGGGGCAGGGGCTCCAGACCTGGGGATTAGGAATGCAATGATCCAGAGGGAGTAGGGAGCAGATCAGTGTGAGTTTCGGTGACTAACTTAGAATCTGAATCACTTACTTTGCGTCATAGCCATGGCCCACAGGTTAAATAGCCCTGAATGGCCATGCCAGTGCTGCCCACAGACTTCCTAAATCCTGGAGACTCCACTGGTACAATCAATTCTGAGCTAACATGATATGGACAGTGAACAACCACTCATCTCTGGTCCCCAAGTTTCCTCCTTTGTGTGTGTGTGTGTGTGTGTGTGTGTGTGTGTGTGTGTGTGTTGGGAAGTCGAGGGGGTGGTGAAGGGCATTCTCCCCATAAATATCCCAGCATGTACACTCCAGACTCCAGGATAAGATCACTCCCTCAGCCCCAGACCCAGAAATGGGGATACTGGGGCATGCAGGCAGGAGCTGCAGGAAAAGCTTATTCTGCACAGGAGGGAAGTAACTCCAGGTTCTCTGCCAATTGCACAGGGTGCTCAGTGGCTTCCTTTGGGGCAGAGCTTCTTCCAAATTAGTTGTGTTCCCTGATGTTGCCTCCTTCCCCTCTTGGCAGGTTTAAGACCACATGGCTGCCCTGGCTGGTTTGGCTCAGCAGTTGAAGTGTCGAACCACGGACCAATGAGTCACGGGTTCGATTCTGGTCAAGAGCATGTACCTCAGTTGAGGGCTCCTTCCGGCCCTGGTTGGGTCCTACAGGAGGCAACCAATTGATGTGGCTCTATCACATCAATGTCTCTCTCCCCCCCCCCCCCCGCCTCCCTCCCTCTCTCTGTTCCACTCTAACTGATAATAAGTGGAAAAATTTCCTCAGGTGAGGAATAAAAAAAAAGACCACATTGCTGCCCCATCCCAGCATCCTAGAGGCGCTTCTTCCTGGGGTAAGAGGAGTTTATCTGACCAGAATGAGGGTGGCCTGTCCCGTGCTGGGCAGAGGGGTCCCTAAGGATGTAAAAAGCAGGAAGATGCTGGCCAAAGTCTGGCTGCTGGCCAGCTGGGGTGAATCCCACTCAATTCTTTTAAGAGAGAATGAGATGGCCTGGGAAATTGGGGGGCGGGCAGGGGGAGGCCACAACAGCCCTGGGCCTGGAGCTGCAGGGCCTCAGGGGTCACATTCCTCCTGGCACCTCCCTCACCTCTCTAAGACGTCCTGAAGGGTTAAGCTCAATCTCCCACAAGCAGAGCCCTTTCAGAGGGAATCTTTGGTCTGGAAATGAAAGGGGTAGGAGAGAACAGTGGAGAACTAATCATAGTGAAGTACCAGCCATAGTTATAAGAAATGTTGAACATCCTTGCTCTGCTAATGGTGATTACTTTGTTCTGATTAAAGAAAGCACTTTCTGGCCTGGCTGGGAGCTGCACATCCTGGGAGCTTACCTTGGGAATGCTGTCCATTCTCCCTACCTGAGAGTTGCCCGCCCTCATCATGGACAGACTAACAACCCTGGAGTCATGGAGGCCGTGCACTGGAGACAGCCCACATCCCCCCGCCAGCACTACTTCCCCATGCTTGTAAACGGTAACCGTTTTTGCCCAGTGTTTTTCCCTTTGCCTACTTCCCCAACCATTTTACCCACTGGCATTCCCTTTGCCTACGTCCCCATGTAATACCCAATGTAAGCCATCAGCTATGGAGGGAATACAGAGCAGATTTTTGCAGGATGACCTGGCTTCCCTCCCATACTGCCAGTAATATTGGAATAAACACTCATATATGATTCAACCTTGTCTCTGCTTAATTGGCTCCAGTAGTGACAGGCAGCCAGGACCCATTTGTTGTCCAGTTTCAGAAATTCGCAGTGATGAAATTTCTGGAAACATGAAGTTAAAATTCCCTTGCTTGTAGCTCTGGCAGTCATCGTGAGGGTTCACCTTGGCCCTGGAGCTCCCTCCCACACAGAGGAGCAGAGGAGGAGGAGAGAGTGGTGGGCTCCTCCCCCACTCCCCCTGGCATTCACCTCTTCCAAATAATCACACTTTTGTTTCACTGAAACCATTATGTTTCCCAGGAGCCTTTTAAACGGTGCTTTCAAGGGTCTCTTTTATTCTTTCCATTTAAAACACCTTTTTTTTTTTTTTTACCCTGGAGGGGAAAAAAAGAAAAAGCTTATAAAGCAATCACCCAAATGCTGAGCACTGGGCTCTAAGCCTGTGGATTCTAATTGTGGCTTTGGTTCCAACAGGCTGGGGGCTTTCATTAAGGAGAAGCGGAGAACGGAGCAGTCAGTGACTTGCCTAGCGCCCCTCAGCCCTGTCCCTA